TCCAATCCAATATGCTACACAGAAAAACTCTGTCTCAAAAAACAAAAAAATAAAATAAAATATTTAAAATTGGTAGTTGCTTTTTACAAATAGATTTAATAACCTACGTTTTTATCTTATCATATCTGCACCCTTGTTTTTTTCTTTTCAGAGTAGATTCTATAATACACCTTTTTTTTTATCCTATCATATCTGTATTCCTTTTTTCCAAAACAAAAACCTTTAATCTAATCCCCTTTCTTCAACTTTCTTCTTGACCATAACCAACAACATTTTGCAACCAATCTCCCTAAATAATGACAAATACCCATAACCCAATGAATTACCAAAAACCACCTACCCCACCTCTTGGAAATGTGGGTGTCTTGTAATTAAAGTTACTTCCTGCTGTCTGGGGACAATAACATCTTCAGGGAACCCTGAAAACAAAACACAAAACAAAAAAACATGAGTTAGTTGTCAAGTCCTGGGAGAGGTAACTGTATCACTTGTTCAGTCTCTGTGTAAGGGAAAGGTACAGAACTTTTCTCAAGTCATGGCTAGAGTAGTCTGTGAGACTGAATCATCTCAGCTGGCCACTTGAAATTTGTTCTGAGCTGAGTCTGTGATCCAAAGTTGATCTTTACTTGGAGTTGCTAAGAATAATGCTGTTGTCATAGTCTTGGTAAAATTGTTATTGTGGGGCTCCATCCTCCTTTTGGTATGGTCATGGTTCACTGCAGAAAATTGGTAGAGACTCAAACCCAAAATCATGTACAGGCAGGTAGATGAAACCTTTTTCTAGAATTAGTTATTACTCTATATGACCATTAATATCACAACAAAACTTCAAAATACATATATATTAATCATATTTTTTATATAAATGTAATATTTATGCTTTAAGAAAAGCTGTTAAAAGTCAATATAAAACCAAAGGATGAAGCGATTATTGGCAATTAGTCCATAAATGTTTGCTTTTCTTCTGTTCCATTTTAGGTGGCTCTTCTGACATGAGACAGAGAGTTTTGATTTTACTTTAACACACACGTTTGTGTTTAGAGAAGGAGAGAGCCACAATCCAAATCCACTGCCAGCTTAAATCTTTAATTGGACTGAGACTACAAAAGAACCATTTGCATTTTCTATCTGTAAAGAAGAGCAGAAACAAATATTTGGGAAGATTTATGAAATTTTATCCTGTTGGAAATATGATATACCAATAATCCAATTTACTCCTCTTCTTGGTACATTTTTTCTGGATGATTTGTTCTTTTACTTCCCCCCAGATGTCTCATTTCTCCAGTGGTCTTTGGATTCCTTAACTGAATACCTTTATTGTCCTGAAAAGACAAAAATAAATCCCTTCAGCAACCCTAAATTTGGGGGGAGGTTCTCCTTTAGCAAGTTATGTCTGATCAGCTGAAAAACATTCATTAGTTTCACAGGTTAGTTTAGATTAAATGGCCATGCTGCTTGATGAACTATCAACTCTTCTAATTAAGAGGTATCTTATTCAAACTGAATCTTTATCAATTTTGATGGTGTCCACAGCTTTTCTTCACCTGTGGAAACAAAAAGCGAAGCCTCCTCCCAAACATAACACAAGCCCTGGGTTTCTATTCGGAGGTCAAAACATATTTGAAGTATAGCCGCTGATTTAATTCTGTAGTTTTTTTCTATTATCTGATGTCTCTCCACAGCTGTTGTTCCTTTCTCATTAGCATTCAGAAAATTCAAAGTTAATTAAGCACTATACAATCTATTTCTGGGTTTCTTTATCATCCCATTCTGTTTATTTAGCATATCCTTTAGAGTTCGATTTGAACTTTCTATAACTGCCTGCCCTGTAGGATTGTGTGGTATATGGGTAATATACTTTATATTGTAATAAGCAAAAAACTGATTCATGTTCTTAGAGACACATGCTGGAGCATTGTCTGTCTTTATTTGTGTAGGTATACTCATGATGGCTATAACTTCTAGCAAATATGTAATTATTGAATCAGCCATTTCTGAACTTAAAGCAGTTGCCTATTGAAAACCTGAATAGACATCAACAATGTGGTATACATATTTTAAATTTCCAAATTCTACAAAATGGAACACATCCACCTGTTAGATTTCATTCCTTTGAGTACCCTTTGGGTTACTTCCTGCAGGTAGTGGAGTTTGGTTGTATAAAGAACAAGTAGGACATTTCCCTATAATTTCCTTAGCTTGTTGACAAGTGTTGCAAAGTCTTTTTTCAAACATTTGCTATTGACATAATTCTTTTAAATAAAATCCCGAGGCCTTTAGCACATTTCATATCAATAGTTGATCAATTTCATCATCACCTTGGACTAGAGGGCCTGGAAGACCCATATGTGATCGAATGTGTGTTATATGTATGGGATGATTCCTATTCCTGATTATGTCTTGTAACTGAATAAATAATAAGGTAAATTCTGTATAATCTGGGATAAATGCAGTGGTTTCAATATATAAGACAACTCTTTCAGCATATTGTGAATCAGTAACTAGGTTGAGAGGTTCTTTGTGATCCATTAACACCATGATAATAGCATATACATCTGACTTTTGGACAGAATTAGAAGGACTTAGATCCACTTAAAATTTTATGATTTGTAACCTGCCTTTCCTGATTTATTTGCATCAGTATAAAATGTAGGAGCTCCAGTTATTGGTGTTTCCCATACGGTTCTAGGAAGGATATAGTCAGTTCTCTTTATAAGTTAAATTACTAAAATCTCATTGCAGGGTTCACTGTCTACCCACATTTTGTCAATTTCATCATTAGTAAAAGGTACAATAATTTCTGCTTGATCTATTTCTGTTAATTGATGAAGTATGAATTTTCCTTTTAGAATCAACTCAGAAATCTTTTCCATGTAAGTTTTTAATTTTTTTACTTGGTTAATGTGGCAAAAAGATCCATTCTATGATAATACCTTCCCCCTGCATTAAAATTCCTGTAGGGGAATGCTTAGAGAGTATTATGACTACAATGCAGTTAAGCTTTGGATACACAAGATTCACATGTGCAATCTGTAATTCCTCTTCCATCAAAGCCAATTCTCTCTCACCTTCTGCTGTTAACTCCCTGGGACTATTTAAGTCCTTGTCACCAACTAAGGTTTTGTTTAAATTAATCAGTTGGTCAGTTTATATCCCACTTATGTGCCATAGATGGGAAATGTCTCCTAGCAATCATTGAAAGTCATTAAGTCTGCAAATGATCTCCCCTAATTTGTACCTTTTTGTAAACCTATTTTATAGCCTAAATAATTAATGAATCTCCTCTTTGTATTTTTTCAGAAGCAATTTGTAATTCCCAATAAGGCAATATTTTCTTTACTTCTCCAATCATTCTTTCTAAATTATCTGTGTTTGAATCAGATATTAAAATGTCATCCATGAAATGGCATACTAGATTGAGGAAATTGCTTTTATATTATTCCCAATGGCTGCCATACAAAATATTGCAAGGGTGGGGCTATTTAACATCCCTGTGGGAGATCCATCCATTGATATCTCTTAGCAGGCTGAGAATTATTATATGTAGGTACTGTGAAGGCAAATTTTTCTCTGTCTTTTTCTTTTAATGATATACGAAAGAAAAATCTTTAAAATCAATAACTATGAGAGGCCATTCTTTAGACAATAGAGAAGGCAAAGGAATTCCAGACCATAGGAAGCCCATTGGTTATATCGTCTTATTAGCAGCTCTTAAACCTGTTACCATTCACCAATTTCCTGATTTCTTTTTAATAACAAATACAGGAGAATTCCAAGGGCTGTTTGATTCCTCTATATGCTGAACATTTATTTGTTCCTATACCAGCTCTTCTAAAGCCTGAAATTTCTCTGTTGTTAAAGGTCATTGCACAACCCATAGATGTTTTTGTATCAGCCATTTTATTGATAGGGCTGTTGGTGTCTTTGGAAGATTAGGAACTGTTGTGTTCCGTTCTTGCACAGCCTGATTGTTCTTTAAAATACCTTCTTATAAAATTTCCAGAGCCATATGTTAATTTATTGTTTGTTTCTACAATTGGGGGACTGTTTATCTGAATATTCCACTGCTGGAATAAATCACATGCCCACAAATTTATTGCAATATTAGAGACACATGGCTTTAATATTCCTTTCTGTCCTTCCAATCCTATACATTCGAGCAATCTCATGCTTTTTTTTTCCTGAGATAAAGTTCTAATCCCTGAAAGTTGAACATTTGCCTCCTGAAGACGCCAATTTGAATGCCAAGATTCATGTGATATAATTGTTAACATCTACACCTGTGTCTACCGGACCTTCAATGATAACATCATTTATTTGCACTTTTAATTTTGGTCTCTTCTTATTTATAGAAGTTTGCCAATATACTCACTTAGTGATTTTTCCTTTTTGATTCTTTCTTTTATAGCTCTTCTATCATCCAGAGCACTATGACTCCTAACAATAGGTATTGATGGCTCTTTAATTACTCTGAGAAGTGGTTTCCATGGTGACAGCAAAGGGCTGAACTGAATTTGGCATAATGTTTTGCATAGGGGCCTGTAAAAGGCATCTCAAGGTGTTTCTGAAGGCAAAGTATTACCTTGACAACCTCTTGTTGACGTATATTCTTTTGTCCAATTCCTGCCTTTGCCATACCTTCTACATATTCCAGAAGGGAGGGGAATTCTGTTTGGGTTATATTTATAAAATGAATTGTTTCTAGAAATGTCCTGTTTACAATCCCTTTTCAAGTGACCTTATTTGCCACAATTAAAACATTGGACATTTCGATTTTTCTTTAAACCTCTTGGAATCATGTCTCCTATCCATGTATCATCATCATGGCCATGAGCTTCTATATTAATTATATCTCAGATCCAATCCTCCAACGGTGCTGACCTTGCCTTTAAAGGCCCAATTATTCTTTTGCATTGGGCATTAGCATTTTCAAAAGCCATAGTTTCAATTACTATTTTTCTAGCTTCTGTGTCTGATATCATTTTATTTACTGCTAAAGACAGTCTTTGTAAGAAATTATACTTTGCATGTGGGTGACAGTTGGCTTGGTCTGTTTGTGGGCCCCCGGGCAGTGGGATCAGGATTTATCCCTGGTTCATGAACTGGCTTTCTGGAGCCAATTCCCTATGTTGTAATGCCTTACTCAACAACCTTGAAACAGTGGGGAGGAGCTTGGTCCTGCCTCAACATGATGTGCCAGGCTTTGTTGACTCCCCATGGGAGGTCTTGCCCTTTCTGAGGAGTGGATGTGGTGAGGTCAGAGAAGGTGGAGGAGGGGAGGGAGAACTGTGATTGCTTTGTAAAATGAATGGAAAATTTAAAAGAAAAAGAAAAAATAAGGAAAGGGGACTTTATGAGCAGAATAGAGGACAAGGATCCTGAGTCAGGAATGTGTTTTTCAGAGTCAAAAAATAAGTAGAGCAAAGATGCTGAATGTGATGAGGTAAAGAAAACATGTCAGAGGTAAAACCATACAGAACTATGTGGCAACAAGGATAAAGAAGAAAATCCTCAAAATATGAAACTTTATATCCAAATCCTGCAAGAGAGCAAGGAGCTGAATAGACTCTTTATAAAACTTGCAACTAAGCTGGGCAGTCATGGTACATGCCTTTAATCCCAGTACTTGGGAGGCAGAGGCAGGTGGATCTCTGTGAGTTGCAGGCCAGCTTGGTCTACACAGAGAGTTCCAGGACAGACTGCATAGCTACTTAGAGAAACCCTGTTTTGAAAAACCAAAACCAAAACCAAAAGAAAACAAAACAAAAAACCTCTAATCTAGAACCCCAAGTCAAGCAAAGGGAATAAATGGTAAGTTCTGTTGTCAGGTGTTAAAAGACAGGGTCATTGTTTCTTACAAATTCAAAATTATTTGAAAGTAATTTGTATTTATATATACATATATATTATTTTAAATGATAATTTACTCCTTTTGAAAATGTCAGAAAATGGCTGTGTGTGTCTTCATGGAGTTACCAAGCTTGAAGACTGAATATGCTATGGTTCATTTCTGCAGTCTGCTTCCTTTTAAATAGTATGCATACAGACTTGCTTGGCTTTCGACAGAGAAAATGAGTGATATGAGTTTTTCTCCAAGACTAAAAACTGATCCAGATTATTTCACAACATCTCCAGTTTGTGCTGCATTTGCATTTTAATGCAGTGTTGATAGACACAGCTATCTTCCCTGAACATTTCATTCCTTTCCTTTACAGAACAGCTATTCTGATCAGAGGGTTAAAATAACTTAAAATGAAATCTCTGATGGAAATCAATCCAACCAATTGAAATAAATTTAAAAGGAGATCCTACTTTAAGATGCGCATGTTATAGATCAAAATGATACACTTCTGCTGTTTCAGAAAAAAAATGAACTGCTATGAATGCTGCCTAAACAAGAGAAGGAACTTCAAATTACTGGCATCAGAAAAAACACAGAGCTTAACAGAGTAGGGGGTTGCCACAACTTGGACAGATACTACATACTTCAAACTATACATGCCTGAAGAGGAGTAGGTATTGATTTGTTAATTTGTAATTTCTTGTTACATACTCATTATGTGCCAGGACTGTGACAAGCACAAAGATAACTTGTAGGGACTCATGAGAATTGAACTGACTAAATCATTAGTATTATTATAAAAAATGAGCCATGGCAGCAGGGTGTTGGTGGCGCTCACCTATAATCCCAGCACTCAGAAGGTAGAAGCAGGTGGATTTCTGTGATTTTGAAGCCAGTCTGGTCTACAGAGCAAGTTCCAGGACAGCCTCCAAAGTCACAGAGAAACCCTGTCTCAACACACACACACACATGCACACACACCAAAAACCGGAAAAAAAAAAAACATGAAAAAATGAGCCATGAGCCATGGGAGTGAACAGAATTACAGAATTATTCCAAGAATGTACAGACTAGAAAATTGGACCCTTCCTAAAAGTTCATCATTTGAGATGAATGCTCACCAAATCAGGATCTGGAGGGTGGTCCTGTAGCAAGATCCTTGAAAAGACATCAAGGACCCCAATTTGCATTATTGACTCTGCCCTTAATTAAATTTGTTACTTGAAAGAAGGAGCATATAGCAAAAGAAAAGACAAAAAGAGCAGATGCTGGGCAATAAAAGGGTGCTTGAGGCAGCTAAGTACCAAAGACCGGGGCCTCTGGGAGTGTGGCTGCTGCCTTCTTCACCAGATCCATACATCAGGGTTACCACTTATCTTGGACATTTTTAGGCTCAAGAAAGACAGTGCTGATAGCTGTCATATTATTCCTATGTATCTACAACAGCCCATGTAATTTCCAACTGTTCTCAATAATTTTAAAAGCAAGTTCCATTGACCTTAAATAGATGAGCCTAAAAATCTGCTGAGACATAGCCACCAGTGGTTCTCATTTTTGAAAATGCCGAATCTTGGGTCTTACCTCTTGGTGGCTCATCAAAATATCTGAGTCTACAGTTAAGATATCTGTAACTGTAGACCTTGTCTGGATGACTCTGTGCATGAAACTCTTCCTAAGCTTCCCATTACAGCTTCCTTGCCATCCAAAGAAGCTGGTATACAGCTGCAGTCTTTGACAAGGACCCCATGAGACTAAAGCATTTAACTCCCAGTGGCTTTCCCATCCTTTATGCAATTTTGTGGAGAGCCACAGCCCTAAGATGGCACCTGGCTGCATGCCAGGTAGTCCGAGCTTAGCTGTAAACAAGCCTTATTTGGAAGTGCTTGAGGCATCTGGCTCGCTTCCTTCTTCTGTGGCCTATCCAGGATTGCCAGATGGCATGAGCTGATTGGGCACTGAGCATCTACTTAAGGACTTTTGGGAGCTGGGAGAGGGAGAAGCTGATGTACAAGGTTCCTGAAATAAACTGCTTTAAGAAGAGTCGTGGTTGTGTTTCTCTTGCTGGTCGAGATAGACGCGACACAATTTATTTATGTTTAACCTTTTAATACCCTTTAGAGATTCCAAAAATTCTCCGAAAAGAAGGGAGAATACTTCTTACACTGTGCTGATGTTTTAAAAGGTAATACTGTATTGTGTCATACTTTCATCTCATCAGTGATCAACAATATTCATAAAAATATTCAAAGAAAATATATCTAAAATTTAGCTTTTGTTTCCTTTCAGGATGAGATTTTTTTCTGATTTTATTCCTCTTTCTCTTTTCCCATGAGTTGTGTTCTCAAAAAAAAATAAGTACATATTTTACAATGAAAATAACACATTCCCTTTATTTAGTATGGGTTACAATTAAAGTAAATGCCTACAAATCTTAGTTAGTGGAGAGAACAGCAAAGCCCTTGTCAGCCCCTTCTTCCTGTGTGTGGTAGATACATTCAACTGTCTCTGCTGTTTCAGGTCTGAAAATGTCCTTTGATCATCAACCTTTCCTCTACTTTCTCAAAAAATATTAAGTCATCAGAAACTCTTACTCAGAGCCACCAAGGGCTTAGAGCGTTTCTGTTTGGGGGATAAAAGGAAATCACAGGGGGAAAATGCTGCTCACTTTTAAAACTCTATAAATCTAATGGTAAGAAATTTTAAAAGCAGGTTTAAATTCTTAGTTCAGGATTTTAAAGTTGAGGATGAAAAGAATCTTTCCAAACAGAGATACATCGAGGACTTAAAAAGGTGTTTGACTTCCTTTCAGCAAGTGTTTCAATTATGAAGCCACAGATTATTTTAAATTTATTTTTATTTGTGTAATACATTATCCTATAATGTAGAAACTATAACTGATATATTGATCATCCACAGTCCCACCATAATTGTTAATCTATCCCTTTATCCATCTACTATCTATCTATCTATCTATCTATCTATGTATCTACCTATTATTCATCTATCCATTTATACACATATAACTATAGGGTGCATTTTCTTAGTCTATGTAAATTATGTGATGTCAGATACTATATACTTTGGAGTATTTATAAAACTATAAAAGAGTTACAGTGTTCATATTTCTCACACTGTTGTAATATTATAGTATTCATATTTTTGAAGTTACTATGTAGAATCTAGAAATATCAGCAAATCCAAAGACAACTGAAGCTGAAATTGTCACAGAACTGTCTGTTCATATTAAATCATGTGGTTTAAACCATCCATATATGATGAGGTCTCCTCATCTGTAGTCAATGAGCTCTGTGAGCTCTTTCCTCAGTTTCTCTTCCTTTGTTCTCTTTGTTTTATAATAGTCAAAGCTAAGGGAAGCAGACATAAAAGGTAGCATGAGTTCAGGTGAAAACTTATTTCCCAGAAAGATAAGATATTCTCTTTGTAGACTGTGATTCATTGAGTCTATGACTAAAGAATCATTACTAACTTGGGTAGAAAACCTAATTTGTAGCAATTGACAAATTTGACCAAATTTTAGTTAAAGGACAAATTTGTTAAAGTGTTTTTTGTTTTTTACTTCCTCTCTCCTCTTAGAAAGTCTTTCATAAAGTTGAGAAAACTGATGCCTATCAGCCTTGCAGACACGGGAAACTTTGAGAGCCATGAATGTTGAAATATTTCTAGATGGATCTGGGTCTCAGACAGCTGGGTATTGATGTATAACTGGGGAGTTCCCCATTTTCTTCCTCGATAAATCACATAGCACCCAGAATTAGATAAATCTTAAGTCTGGAGAAAGAGCAAGGCAAGTGCTCTGAGATAAATGACGTATCAGGTAACTACTAGGAATACATAAAAAAAAAAAAAATACAATAAAAGACTCTAATAGTGCAGAATCCTGAAGACCAGAGGTGATAGCTTAGGAAATGCAGGTCCTGCTTAGCTGCCTTTCCAGGAGGGAGGCAGGTGGCTGCCCTCATTTCAGCTCAAACACACCACACACACACACACACACACACACACACACACACACACACACACCTCTACCAACAACAACAACAACAACAACAACAAAACAGGGAAACCATAACAACATCCCTCAGGTAGCTTTATTCTGGAATTTCTCCTTCTTATTCTACAGTGGTGCCTGACTTTGATATTGGTCATTTGATGACTTAGGGTGAAACTGTTTGAAAAAATCAGAACATTATGTGTTTCTCTTCTTATCTCCAAGTTGTATCTCATGTGGGTATCTTGGAATTATCCCACAGCAAGAGTTCTTTAGACCATAAGTAAACAGCATTACAAAGATCTGACCCCCAGGTTCCAGATGACTCAGCTGGCCAGACCACCACTGTCTGTAGACGTACATGCATGGCTGAAGAATGGGCAGAGCCTGATAATCATACAGGTGGTGGCCCTGACTGTAAAATGGGTGTCCTAACTTGTCCCCTAAGGACAGAATGACACAGAGATTAGATAGTGCTGCCTAGCTGCTCCCAAACAGAAAAGAAAGCCAAATTGTTCACGTAGGAAATCCACTGTGACCCAAAGCACCTCCCTCCTCTTTTAATTCAAATAGAATGAAGACAAAGATGAAAGAGAATGTAGAGATCTAGGAAGTAGAAGAGGGAGTGAAAGATAAGAGAACAGCAAAAATAAAAAGAATGAGAAAAGGGGTTGTCAAAAATACTGTTCTTTCCAGGGGCCAAAATACTCATGCTTTGTTTCACAGACACTTTTACTGTAGATTTTATTTCCCCATCTATTCTCTTTATGCCAGTATTAGATTCTCTGTAACATGCCTTGTTAGCAGACAGGGGTATTATGGACCATGCTTTGTCTGAGCCTCCAACCCCAAGAATGCCCATGCCTGTGAAGGTTCTAATAGCAATTAATGAGTCATAACAAAGCATTTTCATGACTCAAGGGACCAGTGAGGGCTTCTCCAACACAGAAGAGCTAGCTGCAGACAAGATTAGGTGAAGGCAAAAGATTAAAAAGAGCAATAATTGCTTTTAGAAAAAAATGAAAAGTTTAGATCAGAGTCATTAAGTTGCCTTTCAAGACAGTAAATTCCTTATTAAATTACTTAAGTTGACTCTAACTTCACAGAGACCTTAAATATAGCTTAAATCTCAGTTTACTCATAACCCAATAGTGATTTCCTTCAAATGTCACACTAAAACTTTCTGAATATTAGAAGCATTACCATGTGAGTTATCGAACGTCTTCTCAGGCAGTTCAGAGGAAATGAAGTTGTCAGTGACACCAGCAGTGCAGTCTCACAGTGTGGTGTGGTCTCTGTCAGTCTGTCTATATTCTGGGAGTATACTGCTGGTGTCCCCTGGAGTCAGAACACTGAGAAAATCAAGGTGAAATATCAGTATTAATTTGTGGTTTATATCAAATTTCAGGTGCAATTTGCTTTGACATTAAATTCAGACAAATAAGTAATTTGTAATTGTTGTTAGTAATGCCACAGAAATTTTTCTTTCTTTTTTTTGTACTTCTCATTTTTATTGTTTTTCTGTTTGTGGAAGTGTAGAAAGCACAAGTAAATAGAAAATAATAATAAATAATAAAATACAGAAAACAATCAACAGTCCTCTCCAGCTGTGATGTCCATGAATCACTCCAATGACCAGCACAGCAAGATATTCCTAAAGATACAATGGTGGCACTTATATTTTGGTGATGGCCAAGGGTTATTTAGTTGGACACAAAGCCCACCTAACAGGACTGAAATCACGTCTGGTACTGTAATCTAACCATGAGCCTAAGTGAGGCCACAAAACTTAGAGGAGATCCTATGCCACTTCCCTAAATGAATACGACTTTTAACTATTCTCAATAGTTTTCCTCATACTCACAGACACAGGTAGCTCTCACCCCTCATCAAGGAAACTTCTTTTTACAGAGGAAAGAGACCAAAATAAAAAGCAAAACTTGTCAAATGAAGAGAACAATGGACTGTGGGGTGCTCACCCGAGTGACTTATCTACAATACAACTGGACCTAGGGCCCAGTGGAACCACTGGGTTTTGGTTTTGTTTTGAGATGGTATTTCATGCAGGCCAAGGTATCCTTGAAATCTCTATGTAAACAAAGTTGGCTTTGAACCCCAGATCCCCCTGCTTCTGATTCCCAAGTATTGATTGGTATGCAACACCACACTTGACTAAAACAAAACTTTGATGTATACACAGAGACATTTAATGTCAAAGGACAAATCACAGATTAATTATTTTAATAAACATTACAGATCTTGAAAAAATTAAATTCAATTAACTGTCCTGGGGTGTATAGACAGCTTGGAATTCCTGCAGGTTCCCACTACAGTCAGCAAGGACTCTTGATGGAGCCTTATACCTGCACCAGTGGTAACAGCCATTTCATTGAGCATGCATTAGACTTGTACTTCTCAGAATGGCAGCCACAGCCACATGAGGCTGTGGCCTTTGAAAGGTGACCAGTCCCTAAAAATAAATTTCCATTTTCAAATGGCCTACGTTCTTTTGCCAACTAAGGATAAACTCATTTCATACTTTACCAGACTTTGTAAGCTATCAAGACACCACAACATAAGCTCTCTTTCATAAGAGAGCTTCCTCCATACAGGAAAAATTAGTTATCTGCTCAGGAAATCTACTAGGACACATTTTGTCATTAAAACAAGTTAATGACTACTTTAGGAGCAAACATGCTTGTGGAGAGTCAGTTGAATTACTCATCAGTCATACTTAATTGTACAGTTAATTAATGTTAATTAGATATGATCGTTCGGTTATATTACATGTATAGGTTAATTCTATTAATCTCTAACTATATGGAGGTACATTTAAATGCAAGCTTTGTTAAAAAAATGATTTTTTCTCCTCTCTTTTTAAAATTTAAATTAGAAACAATCTTGTTTTACATGTCAATCTCAGTTCCCTATCCCTCCCCTCCTCCCCTGTCCCCCACCAACTCTCTGATCATCCACTTTCTGCTCCCCAGGGAAGGTGAGGCCTTTCCTGAGAGAATCTTCAAAGTCTGTCACGTCATTTGGAGCAGGGCCTAGGCCCTCTGCCATGTGTCTAAGCAGAGAGAGTATCCCTCTGTGTGGAATGGGCTCCCAAAAATCCATTCATATACTAGGGATAAATACTGATCCATTGTCAGAGGCCCCTAGATTGTCCAGGCCTTCTAACTGACACCCACGTCAGGGGATCTGGGATGGTCCTATACTAGTTTCCCAGGTATTTGCTAGTTTTCAGAAATGTGAAAAGAATTTAGGCTTTTCTTTTTTTTGAAAATTTAATCCTAATTTTTTTTTCTAAATACAGAAACCAAGCTGTTTTTTCACTGGAAAGCACAGTTCAGAAAGCACCCAAGTTGATTCCGCCGACGACCAACCCAGGAACAAGGTGAGTGAGTCTCTGCCTGCTCCCGACTCCAGCCCAAAAAATCATACACCCCGACCACCCCTCCACCCCCGCCTGACCCTTCGGGCTTGGGCCAGACACGCCCAGGCAGGGAGGAGCTCCCTGTGCCCCGAATCTGCTAGCACCTCACTCTTCCATTCCACTGAACGACCAAGGAACTAGGAACTAGTGAGGAGACTACCAGGAGCATCAAGACCATCCAGAGTTGTGGACATTGAATTCCTGGCCCCCACACACCACTGGGTCACAAGAGGAGATAGAGAGACCCCACCTGCACCCACTAAAAGAAGATATGTGGAGAAGACAGAATAAGATTCCACTCAATAACAGAAAGACCAATATGACACCACCAGAATCTAGGGACTCCACTCCAGCAAGATCTGAAAAGCCCAACACGGAGCATGAAGATGAGATGGACCTCAAAAATTATCTCAGTAAGTTGATAGAGACCTTTAAAGAGGAAACAATAAAATCCCTTAAAGAAATAGAAGAAAAAGCAAACAAAAAATTAAACGAATTGGAGGAAAAGACAAACCAAAAAATTCAAGAAATAAATAAATCTCTTAAAGATCTAAAGAAAGCCAAGAAAAAACACCCAAGCAAGTGGAGGAAGCTCTTGAAACAGTTCAAAGCATGAAAGATGAAATAGACACAATAATTGACACATAATAATCAAAACACCAAATCCACAGAATAAAGAGAAAATATTAAGAGCAGCAAAGGAAAAAGGCCAAGTAACATATAAAGGCAAACCAATCAGAATCACACGCGACTTCTCATTGGAAACTGAAAGCCAGAAGGTCTTGGATAGATACCCTACAAGCACTAAAGGAG